CACACATGTAACCTGACATATATGTAAAGTCATTAGTTGTAGTAATGTTTGTAAAAGCAAAATATTAGAAACTTCAACTGGAGACAGCAGTGTGAACTTATGTTTAACTTAATATAGTTGCGAATGTATAATTATATGGTTAAGTGCACATACACATACACATATATTTCTTTTGTCCACAGAGAGGGCCTAGAAGCAATGACATTTCAGTAGCAGTGAGCATACCCGGGACCCAGGTCTTGGTTTTTAATTTCATTCTTCAATAAAAGGAACCAGGGTTCCTTAGAAAAATGGCTGTAGACCTGGAGTAAGAAACATAAAAGATGAGCCTGGGGCAACTTTAGTGGCCTAAAGTAAGTACTCAAAAATGAAAATGATGGGAGTATATCAAAGGACTTGAGAAGCCAACTGAAAACTTCCAATATCCAAAGTTGGAACAATTTGAACAAAATAATACAGTATTGAAATACAGTCCAAAGTATAAAATTAACATTCATGAATCCATACTGATATAAATTAATGATTGAATAAATAAGGACCTGGGTACAATAGACAAATCTCTCACACAGAATTCTTAATAATTTATGTAGGTAGTTCATCCTCAAGAAGTCGAAGCACAAATCCCCACCCCTTAAGTGACTTCCCTGTAAAGAGGATGGTATGGAAAGGGGAAGGACCGTGACTTTACAGTCAAAAAGCCTGACAAATACTATCTGAGCCAAATGATTAAGGCCAACACCATCAGTGATGAGCCATGTCAAAGAGCATAGGCCCTTGACATAAGTGATGAGAATGGCACTGTGGACTTCCTCCCCCAAACCATTAACCCCTGCCTAATCATGATAAAAATATCAGACAAACCCAAATAGAAGGACATACTACAAAATAACGGACTTGTATTTTTTAAAACTATGAAGGCCATGGAAACAAGGGAAGTCCAAGAAACTGTACAGCTCAAGGAGATATGACTAAATGCAATGGAATATTCTGGATGGGGTCCTGGGAGAGAAAAAAGGCTTCAATAAAAACTAAGAACTCCCCAAAAAGTATTTGTTCATCAGTTGTGCCAAATGTACCATAGCAATGTTAACAATAGGGAAAACTGTCTCTGGGGTACATAGGAGCTCTGTGACATTATTGCAACCTTTTTGTAAATCTAAAACTACTCTGAGATTGAAGTTAACTAGTAGGGATTAGTCTGCCCCTAAAACGAAATACAATGCAGCTATAAAAAGGAAAGAATGCATAAGCTTTCAAAGTATTATATGAAAAACTGTATATTGTTATTGAGTAAAGCAAGGTGCAGAATTGTGTGCTATTTAAAATAAAAGACAAAAATGAGAATATATATCCTTGTTTGTTTTGTGTACAAATAATAAAACAAAAAAGTTATCAAAATTTTCTATAGAGGAGGGTGTGGGAACTGGGCATGTGGGCAACAGGAATTGAAGAAAGTCTTTTCATAATATATTTTCACATGTGTTTTTTTTGAACCATGTGAATATATCACCTATGCAAAAATTAAATTGTAAAAAGGACTATATGACATAAACAGCCCTAACCTTTGCAAACTCCAAGCTGAGTGTTCACAAACTAAAAACAGGATAAAGGAAAATAAAAAATTTTCATAAACCTCAATTCCAGACCTGACAAGATATTTCCATTTTAAACTTTTTTCCATAGCTTAACACTGACCCAAGAATATTTCTTTTACATGAAATTTTATATTGTTGATATCAGTTCAAAAATGAATTTTTAAACTTGAGCAGGGCCCATCCAACTACTCATAAACTATGAGAGAGTGAAAGTACATATGTAAAACTTAACCAGAAAAAAAAGCAAGGGATCTAGTTTTTCCTTCTGGCAAGAAAAAAATCCCCTCAAGCCTTTAAACCCAGGAAGGTTACAGTAATCATCAGGAAAGAATGTAATCTTAGCCAAGTGTGCCAGGGAAGAAGTAAAGTGTATTTCTACTCAGACTAAGAGGTCATGAGTCCTGAGCACCAGTGAGCACTCCCACCCAGCGACACGTTAATGGAGAAGCACTGACGAGCCCAGCCTGGGCTGCTAGCTGTAGTGTGGTTGACCATTTTAGTAAAATTCGGGTGTGGGAACTGCATTTTATACTCACTCCGTTACTGATCTGTTTCTTGTCTCCACCTGGTGCTGTGTTATCTACAAGGCATCCTGCAGACAACCTACCTGGAATCAAATTGGATCAGCTAAAAGATTATGAAATATATGGGATTTATACGGTTTTCTTAACATATACATTTTGGGGCCTAGTTTTTCCAGGGCCTGACCAAGGACAAGCTGTAAAGGTTTAGACAGACTGGCTATTTGGCCTCTCTCAGGTCCATGGGCCTAGATTGAGTCCCCTGAATATAACATGAATATTAGTAAACAACCAAAGAGTGCTTTTTAGTTCCATAAAGCTGACTCATTTCCCCCCAAATAGGGATTGGTGATAATAATAGTAATAGGTAAAATTTATGTATGATTAACTTGGGCCCATTGCAGTACCATTTGCCTTGCCTCATTTAATTCACACCCAGTCTTATGAGATAGTCCTATTATTCTTTCCATTTTGAAAATGAGAAAAATAAATGAGATTCGGAGAGGTTAAACAGCTCCTTAAGGCCACAAGGGTCAACCCCAGTGAGTGGGAGCTCATCCTCCTGATTTCTATAGCAAATGTGCCTGGCTTTGGGCTGAATTCTAGAGAGCACTAGACGCATGTAATATACTAGTATATGTATCTTTTCAATTTACCAAGAGTTTCACGTGCAGTTCTTATTTGACCCTCACAATAGCACTATAATTTTGAAAACTGATATTCTCATTTACAGATAAGGAAAATGAAACTCAGATCCCCTAGCCAGTAAGTGGCAGCTATGAGGCACCATCTTAAGTCTTCCAGCTAATTATAAGTCTAGTGTGTTCTTTCGTTACCCTAAATTTTCAAAGACAAATTTTATTTCTAAAAGCCCTTACTATTCAAATGGTTTAATCTTTCATATATTAATCACATCACTAAATGTGATTTTTAAAAGAGCAAATATTTCAGTTAGATAAGTGAAGTGATAACTTTCCTAATTTTAAAAACTGTTATCTATAAGAAGACATTAGAAATTGAAAAACAGTTTTAAAGATTCAGTTATATTTCAACAGAAGGAAATAGTCATATAATTATATGTTTGTGCTTGCTAACTATAGTTACATCTAAAATTATAATCAATTATCTAAGAATTTCTTTTTCTGTATCTCTAATACCATTTTATTAATAAAGTAATTCACATTTTTGATCCTTTCATTTCTGAATTGCTTTTATCCAACAGATTTTTCATTTCTGAAGTTACTCCCACTATTTTCAAAAGAAGTTTTGTATAGAAAAGAAATATACAATAATAATGAGCTCCTCTTAGGATGATATAAGAAAGCCTAGTTATCCAGCAAGAATTTGTGTATCTGACATACATAAAAGATGATCTGGAGGGACGCTGTGAGAAAGGCACCAATTGTCATTCATTAAACCAGATTTTAATTGTTACATAGTTTTTGGCTTCTTTCTAACTTCTATAAGTAGAAAATAATCCAGATTAAGCAAATTACAAGGTAGTATTTATAGTATCTTCCCAAAATTTTAAATTACTGTCATTTTATTAGCAATTTTGGGGCATAGCACTTAACATCCCAGAGAGAAAAAGTAGCTGTGTAACCCAGAAATGGCTGGGTCCAACAATCAGCCTATGTTCTTGTAACTCCTCTGCATTCTCTTTTCCTACCTCCCTGAAAAATTCACCCAAGCAGGAAATGGGTTTATTGTTGGTTTCCTAAAGACAGAGACATCTAAGTTTGGTTGGGGTTGGGAGGGTGAGGGATTCACATTGTGCAGAACAATTGTCCCCAGAGCTCATGCACCTCCTGCAAGCAGCCTGTCCAACCTCATTTTTGCTAGAGCTTTCCAACTCTCCACCTTAAGACTCCAGTTACTTTCACGTAACCAACCCTCACTTGTCATCCAACAAAGGACACTCGGGATACTCCATTTACCTGGATTCATCCTGGGGACGCGGGGAGCAGTGGATGTGTGTGGACTGAAAATAATATTTGCCTACCACAAGTAAAATTGAACATAATATGACCAAATATGAAGATAGAAGTTAATATATTTGTATTATGGACACTATAAAAGCTGTCTATGGCTTTTGACATTTACTTCTTTCTCAGCTGAACAAATGCCATAAAAGATAGTGTTGCTCTGTTTGTTTGTTTTTAGTTGCAAGATAATAGACCACAGTCATTGACTTGTGGTTTGTTTGTTTTTTGGTGATGGTGGCAAAGTGGTGTCCATGTCCCTCTTTTGCACTGTCATCTGGCTCTCACCACCACCATGCATAATTTGAGAAACAGCTTACATAAGTTGTAAATCTATAGCTTGGAAAAGAGAAAAAAAATCTTGATGTTTTACATAAAAATCCATATTTCTGGCACCTATTGAAAATCTTCAAGCCCAAATTCCCACATGGTAACAATCAGCTAAAGCCAAGTGTTGGTCGACTGTTCATTTACATTTTCAGCTCTGAGTTCAGCTCTGCTGTCTACAGTGACTGAATCTACCACGCAGGCCTTCCTCACCAGCTAGTCCAAGCAACTTTTGTGTCATTTCCATATGTGCTGTTATTCTAAGATCACACAAAAAAATTTCCTTTTCATTTTAAATTAATTTTTAGATAGATTTTGAATTTTTTTTGTTTCTTAGAAGGAAAACATAAACTCGTTAGACAATGGTGTAGTGTTATAGAAATTTACACTTGTGGGGTGTGTCAGCTGCTATTCTTTTACACAAAATATTAATTTATCATCAAGAAACAATAGTTTTAAAATTTGTTCTCACAAATACTGAAAGTACATTTTTTCACATGAAGGACATCTTGGATTATTTTGTTCCAAAACATCTATCAAAATAATGCTTAAGGCTTCTCTGGGTTTTATTTCAGCGCTGCACATGTCCTTAGAAGATAGCTTACGATGGCTTGGAGAAGTTATGGCTGAAATCGGACCATCTCATTTACAGAAAAATGAGAAATGGAATATCTTTGATGTAAGACAAGCCAAAACTGTCATTAATTACTTCAAAATCAGGTATGGATTCCTTTTCAGTCACATTGATTTTTTGTTTCATATTTTCTAGAAAAATGTCTACTAAATAGAAACTAATTCAGTTTTTAGCAGAGTTTGACATTTACAGAAGTTATACAGTAATTAACCCAACCAATAATTAGATAATATTTTAATCATCCATTCAATAAATGAAAGTCAGGACATTGACCAATTTAGTTAACTTGCATTCTTAAAAATAGTTTTGTGTTTGATAAGTATAAGTTTATTTAGAATTATAATAAATTATCTAAGCACTTCTTTTTTCTATACATCTCTAATACCATTTTATAAATAAAATAATTCTTTCAGATTTTTCAGACTGGATTACAATAGAATCTATATTTTAGGTAGTTAGCCTTGACATCAAAATTTTACATTGTAAAGAGCAACATTCATTACCACTTAAACATTTATTTTAAGCGCTTTGTACTAGAAGTTAAAAAGATTTATGTATATACTTCCTCAAATTTATTATGTGTCCAGAAATATTTTGTAGTATTGACCAATTAAACTCAGAAAGTTTTTCTTTCTGCTTGGAAAATGATGGTATATGGAGGGAAAGTATTTTTATTACAGTGATTCTTCTTTGGTGAACTAAGAAATCTGTCCTTTTATTTAATCTGTCACAGGGTCTGCATTAGAGTCATGCATCTCTCCCAGGAGACATTTTTAGAGTTTGCAAATATTTAAACAAGAGTTGGTAAAAATCTTTCTTTTGTCTAACTAAAAGCTTCAGCAGACTATCTTTGTTCCTCTAATGCTGTATACTGCAGCGTTTTCCAACTTTAAATTTTAAAATTCAAAAATAAAGCATGCTGCATGATGTTCTAGACATGCTCATGATTTGCTTGGCAAGAATCCTGGTTGCAGTCTGGAAGCTTTTTAAATATTAACGTGTTTAATATGATAAGGTTTATATACTGGTTTCTGACATGAATTAATAATGGTACATGATATATTTTTATATAATAGCATTTGATATAATATGATTTCTTAACCTAAAAACATACCTCTAATATGCGTCTCCCACTAAAAGCCACAGTAGTCTTCATATCAATTAGAGTAAAGCAAGGTCCTTGTGGGGGGGAAGGGAGGGAGTGGAAATCCAGGACTGAAGAAGAACCTGGTCCCCAAGGTATTTCTGCCTCTCGGGGCTTGGGAATCACCGGGCAGGGGAAACCCTCTGCACATCCGTATAGCATCCTTCTTTCCCTTCTCTCTCTGTTTCAACTGGCTAGGTCTCCTTTGCACAACATTTTTACAGCTAAATTGTAAGCCCAAGAGGTTTGTAATGGGCATTGGAATCGATTGCTAACCATGACAGCAAAACCCATGCTGGCTCCAAAATGACACCTTCTAGATGGGGAAAGATGGCAGCTCTTTTCTCCTTCATCTCATATCTCTCATCAATGTACTTCTTAACATTTTATTTCAGAAAATGGTTAAGAGGATATGTCAGTATTAGTCACTGTTAGATACCAACCAGGGTAACCACATACCAAAAATCCCTAGTCTTCTAAAAAAAAATAATATTTGAGAGATTGATTATATAAAGTAAATCAGAACTATTTTTGATGCTGTTGAATCTTTATATTGTGACCTCAAAGAAATTATACATTTCAAATGTACCGGTTACATAAATAAAATATCAATTAGTAGGATATCTGGAATTGATACTGAAATTGTATAAAGAGAAATATGCTTTTCTATAGCACCTGTTCAGAATGCCTCATAGATCCACAAATGTAAGTTTAGTGGCAATTAAATCATATAATACTTTTCATTTTAATGACTACAAAGAAATTTTATAAATATGAAACTAACTCAATTATTGAAAGTTATAAGCATGCTTCAATTTAACCTGATATTAAATTTACTCAACCGGTGTAAAAGCCCTCCTCAATTTAGGGAGAGCAGTTTTTAGAACATGACCCCAGAGCACATGAAACTTAACTGGCAATAAAATTGAAATCTCATTTGATACTGTTAATAGAGTCTAAATCAGCAGTTTTTAACTGGTGTGCCACAAGAATTTTGAAACATGCAATACCTGACTATTTAGTCAGGGGCACTGACCTCTTTTCCTTAGATTATCAAATTTAAAAATGACAACAGCCAACCCAACAGTAGCCATCCAATGTAAATGAATCAAAATTATACCTATTTTTTGTCAAATCAGCAAAAAATATATTTTTTGGTGTGCCACAAAATTTTAGTAATTAGTTTATGTGTGCCATGAGTTGAAAAAGGTTGACAATTGATGGTCTAAATTGTATATTCTGTCATGTGTCTGTGATTTCAAAAAAACTAGTACCAAAATTCCTCCCCATTACTGTAAGTACTGATGAGTCTTGTTGTGCAATATATACATTTGTAAGTACTGTATAACCTACAAATATAAATATAAATACTACTGCAACTTTTTAATATAGGACATCGTCTAGAGCTATATCTGGTCCGGGTACACTTCTGTCATTGTGCATTGCGCCTATCCCAGGGAGCTAGGTGAAGGCGATGTGCACAGGCATATGCTCACTGTAAGAAAATCAACACTGCCTCTTGTGCAGAACAAGACATCGCACTTTCAGGCATGGAGCCAGATGCCTTGACCCATTTTCAGTCTGGGTATTTTCCCTTTGATTTATGACTAAGATAAGACGTTTAACAAAAGAATCTAGGGGCTTGAGTCCTCCGGAAGTGTAAAGGAAGAGGGAAGAGGAAGAATTGTACTCTCTTAGTGGAGGTATCACTTTGCTCCCATGGGAGGCCATCTAATATTCCTTGGTAAGGTTAGAGAACCCCAGCCAAGGTGGGGACCAGTGTGGGGCCATGGGGGCAACTCGACCTGCCCCTGAGTAAGGTGCCTCCCTCCTCTCCTCCCTCTCACCCTAGTCCTGGCTTTGCTCCAACCTTGCATCTTTGACCACGGCATCCAAGTCATCAATTTCCCTTTGGCCTGGACAATCTAATTACTCTGTGCAATGAGGATAATAACTCTGAGAGATTATGACATTTCAGGGAGGAAGACTTATGAATTAACTTCAAGATGGAGAAAGAAACATTTTATACTAATTCGCTGAGAAGAAGCCAACCTATTTACAAAATACTCTACAGTTTTTTAATTTTTCTACTCAAAATCAGTTATTGCCAGTGTAATCTTTTTAACCTTAAATCTTTCTCAGGGTGAGCAGTGTAAGGAAAGAAGAATTTGAATTTATTTTGCTTCATTGAATCATCAAACTTCACTAATCTTGATGTATTTACTAGCCAACAAATCAAAGTAATGTCAAAAGCTAAGTTAATTTTCTGAATGTTGATGACTAATTTAAATGTATAAGGTTTCCCTCCCCCCAAAAAAATACCATGAGTGAGTAGCACACTCTTTAATGGATTTTGTTAGTAGTGAGATCAACTGCAAATGTAACTCAGAGAGACCCAGCTGCCTGAGGATTTCTTCATTGATTTCAAATGAATTGAAACTTGGATCCATTACAGCATTCAGAAGAAGCCATTATTATACATGCTCTGTAGCTACATTTTGCAAATGTTAATTTCTCAGTTATATTAAAATCAATTTTCTTAAATAGCAAAAGGCACCAGAGTGAAAGAGAAACCACTAAGACAATTTTTTGTTCTTGGGCATTTTGCTGTATTATGAGTCTATTAATTTTCCCAACCAGCGGGAAGAGAATTAGAAAATTTCAAATATTATCACAAACAGGATATTAGAAGTCAGCCCTTCAGTAAAATTTTAACTTTTAATAATACATTGCTGAGATCTTTAAACTTACTAGAAATATGTGTTTTAAGGAACTCCTATCCTTTTGGCTCTTTATAATTTTTATACGCTAACCATCTGGTCTTAGGGTAGGAATTGAAGAAATTATCTTTCTTAAATTAACTCCTCTCTTTGATGTATGACCAAATATTCTACAAGAAAATCAGACATCTTCTAAATGGATTTTAGTTCATGTTGCATCATTTTTCAACAGTTATTGGAGATTAATTTAATCTTGAAATGGTTTTAGAACATGAGAAGAAGTAATTGATATGGAAGTAGATGGTAGAAGTCAGTGCCATTCATGCCAGAGGAAACTAACACTAGTATGGAGCAAAATATGAAAAATAATATGAAGTTTGCTGTTATATAGGAGCAATGTATTATTTAGTTGTAAGCCAGGAGATGTCAAGGTGCAATATAATTGCTCCCTTATCCCAAATCTATCTACTCATCACAATTAATTTACTGATATTATTTTAGGTACTGTTACATTGTCAAAGTCTCAAAAAAGTAAACCTTTAATTCCTTAGTGTTTATAAGTAAAATAAATTTATTTTGGAATAAAGGAGGTGGTTAACTCCAGAGTAGTGTTTAATGTCTTTATCTTGGTCAGTATGAACAACTTTCCTTTAATAAACTCTCTTACATATTTGTGTTTTTTCTGAAATAAATTTATCACAATTGCACATTTGTTTTATATTTCAGTTTATTTCAACACTACAAGCTATATGAGTTTCTATTCTACTCTACCAGGGAAGAAATTGTGATAGGAACTGAGGTAAGTAATTTATTTAGATGGGACCAATTAAGCTGAATCACTTAATGCATGCTGATCAGCATCTGGATCTTTAACTGCTTAAAGCAACTTCCTGTCAAGATTACTCAAGTGTTAATATAACCAACTAGTAGTTTACAAAAAGAATAATTACATAAAGTGGGCTTTGGATTAAGAAAATAAGCTGTCTTTTGGCATTAAAAGCATTGTTAACATATATACTTTATGTATTTATGGATTAATTATTTGACAAAGCTCAATTGGATAGTGTATGTATGTCTTCATAGAAATAAAATCAGGAAAAGTGAGATAAATTAATTCAGTTAAATCTCTTCTAATTTCACATTTATTTTCGGTCTACTCGTTTAAGGCCTAATTCAAATCCTACTTCCTCAATGAAACAAACCTTCCCTAATTGCATCATGCTACAAAGGAAAGGTTTAGACAAACTCTTTAATCTCATTCTAATATTTTATTCCAATTGATCTCTTTCTGCTGAATATTGGCTACTTTTACCACACCAATAAGCACATAAATATGTACTGCTTTGTGGTTTTCTAACTATTTCCTGTGGATTGATATAGTCAGTACAACCCGACTGTAATTTCCTTGAAGAAAAGGATCATGTGCTGTATTTCTGCCACAGTGTACAGTATAAGGAAGGACACAGTGGTCCCTCAGTTAAGACTCCTTGAGTGATTCAGTGACAGTGCATAGATAGAAGTTCTATGGTCTCTGGTCTACCCAGAGACACTTTTGAACAGCCTTACATACAATCATGTATTTGTAATGACTAGAAATGAATTTTGTGTAAGGGAACATCTTAAGGAAGCTAAAAATGGCATAAAAAAGGTCCTTCTTAGGTACCCCAGTACTTTAGGAGCCTACATTGCCTAGAAGTATAAGGAATAGTAGTGGCCATGTTCTGAAATAGACAGCGAATAAGGGGATATTTATGTTATCTTCATAATTTTCCTGACATAAGAACCAGATGGAACGTGCCAACTCTTTTGCCTTCCAGAGCATTGTTATTCTGCTGTTTATAAATTGCTTACTTCATAAACATTTCAGTCTCCATTACTCACCCTCCATTTGGGTACTTGTTCTAATGGTGCCCTTTTAAAAATGAGCTGAAGGAAAACAAGGAACCCTTTTCCTTTTGAGTTTCCTTAAAATTTCTTCCTTGCAATATCCTTGTAGCTTAAATTAAATGTCACTTGACAGAGTTTCACTGAAAACGTTTCCATTTCAGAATTACATCATATAGTGTGACAGCGTTGCAATAATTATCAGTTTGGAATACAATCCTATCTCATATATCCAGCAAAACTTCGGGAAAATGATAGTGGCTTCAACAGCAGGATAAGCAGATATTTAGAATTATCAAGAAAAATTCATAAAGAACTCCCTTTTCCCTTTGTTAATTGCACAATCATGCCTTTCTTCTCTGCTGTAAGGATATATTTAGGTGACATTTATGCTCATGGAAAGATAAAGTGGAGAAAGCAGAGAGGGATTGGCTCCTTTATTTGCCATTGTCTTTTGTATATTCCCCAAGCTGACCAGAACTATAAAAATAATCAAGGAAAAGATATTGGGTCTTCAAGAATTAGATCACTCATGGAATTTTTAAAGGATTAACCAAAACAATTATAGTACAACATTTTATGGCATTTTAGAATTGTCTCATAACTCTTTGTGCAAATATCTGTTTTTTTAATTAACAACATTTTATGGAGGAGGCAGGAGCCTGCCCCACAAATGTGATTATTCATGCTGATCTCAGTGCTTTGGGACCCAGCAAGGGCCACACAACAACCACATAAATGTTCCAAAATTAACTCTCAGGCAAGCATTCAAGTTAAATAACAGATGAAATTTAGTTTTTTAATTGTGGATGGAAGATTAGAACAAAACACATAAATCACCTCCAAGAATACTTGATAAATATTAATTTTAATTATTAATGGAGAATATAAATAAGTCATACTCCTACTTTTCTTTGGTTTTAGTTTTAAAAAATGATTTTTTAAAATTTAACGATTGTTTCTAGCTATTTCTACTCACTTTTTTCAAGAAATTTCATGTTATTCTTAGATCTAGAAGGCACATTTCAGTAAATCATTATTCTTGACCTATTTCTTTTATAGTCTAGAAATCTTTTTAACAGACATGACTTTATAATCAACATGTTTTGTCATTTATTCAGTGGCTTACAGATTATATATGTTGAAAAAGGCAGTAAACAATCAGAATGGAGCAGAAAATGGAAACAGCAAATGCCTATAGTTGTAGCCATCCCAGTGCATGAAGCACATGAGTGTGACTCCATTTATTTAGAGATGAGGACTCCGTTTCAGTCAGTAAAGGCAGGAGCTCGCCAAGTCTGTTGTTTTGACAATGCAATTAGCCCGCAGACTCTCTGACATAAAGAATGAAATATAAGGAAACCAGAATCTCCTTAGGGCATATATATTTTCCTTGGTCTAAGCCTCCACCCAGAAATCTGGAAATGCTGCCTTTTGCTTTTGTTACCTAATAACTACAAGAAACATCAATAACTTCACACAAAGAACTCTACTGGATATTAACAGTGGTGATGCTCAAAAACTCATACCAGATACCCAGGCATTGCTCTAGCCCATTATCTGCCGCCAGGCATCCCCTAAAATTAGATGATGCAGCTGTAAAATTCCTTATTCATTTTTTCAGCATATGCTATTGAGTTCCTATTATGTATAGGCCTTGTACTGAGTTTCAGGTATAGCAATGATAACAATTCTCATCCTCAAGGAGTTTACACTCTAATGAGAGGAGAGAGAAGAATAAATAAGTAATACAATATAGGACCAAAAATGTTATGAGACTATGGGAACAACAGAAGACAAAGAGGATCATCTAACCTATAGATTGATTTAAGGCTCATGGGAGCTTCTAGGAACAAGTGAAATCTAACGGGAAACCTAAAGGCTGTGAATGAGTTAGCCAACAATATATTATAATTTGGGGGTGTGAATGAATGAAATTCCACTCAAAATAACTGATAAAGCAGTGGGTAAGCCAGTGGAAGGTCAGCTGGATGTAAGCAGTCAACAGTGTGACGACATGAGTGTGCTGTGGTGGCATGTGCATCGCCCTCCCCCCTAGCTCCCCCACTTCTCTCCTCGGGTTCTGTTCCGCCCGCATTCCCTGTACTGCAGGCAGGCTTCCTCCACCTAGAGGGAGACACGACACAGTCAGCTCTAGTTTGACGACTCCAGAGGAGACGTCCTTCCTCACCCTGTTGCCATTACTGGCTGTGCTCGTGTCATGTGTCCACAGCTGATTAATCACTGTGTCCTGAAAAGTGGAGTAAAGTTATTGGAAGACTGAAGTAGGCCAATTGAATGGGTAACAGGATGAACAGATGCCCGAAAGAAGCAGAAAGCAATTTTTCTGAAGGCAAGAGTGATTTTATCAAGAGTGAAATAAATACAGATGCACAACTGTTCTTCCATCCAAAATCCCATAAGAGACCCAAATTTTCAAAATCTATAATGCCATGGATAAGAGATTTTATGGCATCTAAAATTATAGATTATTGATTGGATGAAACCACAGCCTCACATGTACAAAGAAAATGATACAGAATGAATGAGGGCTTCTCAGGCCACCTCAATTGATACAGAAATGGGAGAGAGCTTTAGATGGAAAAAATGAAAGCAAGTAGGAGAGTGCTTTCAGAGCAACTGCACATTCAGCCCCTTCACCCTCTGCTGCTTGAGCAGAGCACTGGGACTCCATAGCTCTTGCTCCAAAGCTAAATAAACTAATGCAAACACTGACATCCAAGTGGAGGGCAGTTCTATAGTGGCTACTGACCAACAAATACACCCTAAATATAAGCTACTGGCACACCTAACTACCATCATTCTTTCCCCTCCTGTAGTCTCTCGGTGCAAGCTATGGCAAACAAATATCCCCAGACAAGTGAGCCAGAACCATCTAATGTAAAGATACGCTGGCAGCCCAAAGTCGCCAAACAGTTGAGGAAAATAAAAACATACAGAGGCATGAAACTCTGCAAACATATCAGATAACAGCTAAGGAAGAGTTAACAGAGCAAATGGTAGGAGACTGATTAACATTTTCAGAAAAGTTTGAAATTTCATTATATTCTTAAAAATGAACTAATAGAGATCTTGGAAATTTAAAATAAGATTTGAAAACTTTTAATGAAATATCAGGTACAATTTTCTATTGATAGATCTGAAAATGTACAAAAATGATATTCAGGGAGGTGTGAATTGCCAGTGTTTCCCTGAGGGGATGAAGAGAGTCTTAATTGAATGATAAGCATGTAAAATACTGGAAAATCTATGCATAGAAATGGCATCAGACCTAGAAGGTTTCATAGGCCAGGTTTACCAAAATTTCTAAGAGTGGGTAATTCCCCTTTCTATAAACTGTGATGGAGGTTAGAAAGAGATGGCAAGTTTTCAACTCATTTGTAGTTGGTATAACCCCGAAAGAAGCTATGAATTCACAATGGATTATAACCAAAATGGGAAAGAATAATTCAGAGTTATGGGCAATCTCAGTTATGAAAATAGATGCAACCATCTTAAATAAAACATTGGGAAGTGAAACATAGCAGAAGACTGGATGTTCAAATAGGGTTCATTCCAGATATGGAAAGATGGTTTAACACTGGGATATTTATTAATATTTTTCATTACATTGTCAAATTAAGGAAATAAAAAACATAATCATCCCAATAGATATGGTAAAGCATTTAATAAAATTAAACATCGATTTCTGATTTTTAAAAGACTCTAGTTAATCAGTATATAGACTTACACTCTGGAGTCATACAGTATACCAACCCAAGGAACTCACTAGAAATATTTTAATGAAAAACTTTAAAATATTCACTTGGAACAAGACAATGATAATTATTATTGTGTACCCAATATTGCTTTTTAGTTTCTAGTCAATATAATAAAACAAAAGAAGTTAAAGTA